TGTGTGTGTGTGTGTGTGTGTGTGTGTGTCCCCTCCAATACCAGGGAATGGGGCTTTGTCTTCTGTTCACTGCCATGTCTCGCCCTATACAGAGTGCCTGCATGTAATAGGTGTATAATAAAGGTTTGTGAATGAATGAATGAATGAGAGCTGAGCTGATGATCAGTGCAGACAGTTTTGTGTTTGGAACCTCAGTATCTTGGGTTCCTCTTGGTTCGGTTTTATCAGTTCCCTTGTCAGGTCTAAAAAAGGTATTCGAAAGGTTCTTCTCCAATTTTTTCATTTCCTCCAATTTTCATTTTTAAAAACCTTTTGAAGCACACATTTCTGGGCGAAGGAGAAACAGAAGATGGGGTGGTCTGGGGAAGATGGCCGAGTCCCCCTTGGTTGTGCTGCCTTTGGGGTCACCTGGCTTCAGTGTCCTGGACTCTCAAAGTCAGGCTGGTACCTGGCGGCCTGCCCTCTGAGTGTCTCAGTCCGGACACCAGGTCCCACAGGTAGTGGGACCGGACTGTGTGTTTCTCTGAAGAGCCTCAGGGAGTGATTCTTGAGGATGAGTGAATGGGGAAACGCCGGAAGGGTCTCAGGGACAGAGTGGGAGCTGTTCCCGCCTCACCGTCTTGTGTCTGACACGTGGTCATCTCCCAGCCATTGGTCAGTCTCTACCAAGCCTGCTGGATCACACAGCCATTCTGGGTAGTAAGTCCACCCCGCCCCGGGGCCGTGGCACCATCGAGAAGCTTTAGTTGATACTCTTCTCTGCAGCAAACATCGGGGCCTGCCATGTGCCAGGTGCTGGGTGGAGCCCCGGGCCCGAGAGATCGATGCACGACCCCTGCCCCTTGGGATGCTGTGGCTGGGCAGGGCAGGCCAGGCCAGATGGTGAACCCAGAAAACGGAAGTACCAACTGCTGTGGTCAAGTGCAGTTCAGAGCAGTGGGAGGAGGGGCAAGGGAGACTGTCCAGGGCTCCTGGGTGCCAGAGCCCACTGGGCTTGGCGGCCACCTGGGGAGCACCGCACAGGTGAGACATTTGACCCTGGCCCTTCTCCCTGACGCCTTGTGCACAAATCCTTCCCTCTGGAACGTTTAGGACCATCTGCTTAACTGGTCATAGTCTCTCTGGCCAGAACGCTTCTTGGCCTTTGTTGTCATAAAACCCAGGTCTGACGAAGCCGGGCCTGAGCTCCTCCTTTGCCCTGTATAGGCGGATGTGTGTCCTCCCATTCTGCATCCCCCTGTCCTTCCCTCTACCCCTCCACCATCCATCCCTCCATCCATCCATCAGCCCGTCCGTCTCTCTGTCCAACCATCCACCTATCCATCCATCCATCTGCCAGCCAGCCACCAGTCCAATACCTGAGGACTTTGATATGTGGGGTGGAGGAAAGAACAAGACCGACGAAGTCCCTGCCCTCCCCTGAGAGCCAGACATTAAACAGCCAGCTATGACTGTTAGATATAGAGGGTTATTATGGTAAGGGAAGGATGATTTGGTGAGGGAGAAACACAGTGTGCTTTCCGGGTGACTATCGGGGGACTTGAGTGCAGGGGGTTGCCTTGGAGAAGGCTCCTCTGAGAAAGTTTCATTTGAGTTAAGAGCTGAAGGGTGAGCCTCCCTGAGTGGGGAAGGCTGGTGTGTGTGGAAGAGTTCCGGCAGAGCAGACCGCTTGTGCAAAGGCCCTGAGGCAGGAGGGGCTTAGAACAGCTAAAGAAGTGAAAGAAGGCTGTTGTGGCCGAGCCCAGAGTGGGAGGTGGAGTGGAGGGAGAAGAGGGCGGGGCAGGATCATGTAGGGCTGCGGGGGTCACTCTGACTAGTGTGACAGGACATGGACAGGCTGGCGCTAGGGTCAGAGAAATGAGAGCTGTGAGGGCAGCTGGGTGGGGTGGGGCTGGCGTGCCCCTTGGGCAGTTCAGAGCCAGCCCCTCTCTCCACTCCTGCCTGGCTCCCGGACGTACCTTTTGGAAGTCTACCTCGAATGCACCCTGACCCCCAGGCTTTCTGTGTGTGCCCCCTTTGCAGGTTACTTACCCAACGGGGTGCATGCTGTGGAGGCCATGCTGGCTACAGCAAGTATCGGGGCCATCTGGAGCGCCACATCCCCAGACTTTGGCATGAACGTGAGTCGGGGCCCCGGGAGTGCCCTGGGTGTGTGTGACCACATGAGATTTTCCACACGTTTATTCTGTGTGGGAAGTTTTCCCCGTTTGCTCCCGGAGGGTCCCTCCGGGCTTTGTGTCATCACCGCCATCTCTTACCTCGTACTTGGGGTCTGGGCTTTGTGCTCTGTGCGGGAGGGCGGGGCGAGGGCGTCTTTATCCCCGTAACCCCCAGGGGGCCTGGACCCGAGGTGGCTTCACCCAGCTGCCCGGTTTGGGCCAAGCAGGGCCAGGAAGTGTGCGCTGTGCCTGCCCAGCCCCGTGGCCCCTCTGTGGGGCAAACGAAGAAGCAGCAGAGCAGCACACAGTCAGGCTGCCCCCAGCCACTGAGCTGCACCGGGGGCACCTGAGACCGCGCAGTCAGGGACGTGGACACCTGCCGTGCCCCCAACAGGGTCTGTCCTCGTGGCTCCTGGGTATCCCGCATGTCCAAAGCTCTGGAGCCAGGAAAGGCCCCTGCTGGGAAAGTGGGGGCCGCCCCAGAGATCACCCCTTGTGGCTGCCAGGTGGACTGTACTCACGCCTCCTGGAGCTTTCCAGGGCCTCTCCCAGATCACCTCCACCCAGGACCACCCGGGGCAGCGAGGACTGACCCGAAAGTGGAAGTCTGTGTGTGTCCTCCCCAGTCCCCAGGGCCCTCAGTGAGGCTGTGGGGGTGCTTGCGGCCAGCCGTCCTCATGGGAGGGTCTGGAAGGTTGGGAGTGAGTGCTTGGGTGCTGTTGCCCTTGGGTCCCTCAGCAGGTCCTGAGCAGCACGGCACCAAGCAGCTGAGCGAAGGGCCCCAGGGGGTGACAAGACAGTGCTAATGTACCCACCGAGGTCAGACAGTTTAGCTGTTGAAGTTGGGAGATGGGTGTTTTCTGAGTTAAATTGGAACTTATAACTTGTTGTAAGCCCGTCGTGAGGGTGTTGGGAGAGCTGTGTGTGGCATGGGGAGTGATGTGACCCCTGGGGCTGGAACGAAGCCCCACCTGAAGGCTTGGCAGGGAGCAGAGCTCCTGGATTGGACGAGGGGGGGGGCGTGTCTGAGCCACAGGATGTAGGGCGGGAGGGTTAGGGGCAGGGCGTCTGGCCACCTCCAACTCAGTTGGTGCGGCCCGCTGCTGCTGACCCGTGGCCTGTTCGCACAGGTCACTGCCCTGTGCAGTGTCACCACCCGACTCCATTCCAGCCGCCTCTGGCCCCCAGGCTCTGCTGAGTAGGAGGCCACAGCTAGCAGACGGCTCTGTAGCATGTGTGTCTTATCGTTCCTTCCCTGGGTCATGCTTTTCTGGAATCACTGCTGCTGTTGGAAGCTGCTTTGGGTGCAGGAAACACTAGATGGCGAGATGGCCCCGCTGTTCCCCCACGATTGTCAGCCATTTGGTTCCAGGAATCTTTGAGTCGGGGTGGCCTGAGTCTCAGGGGAGAGCCCTCGTTTATTCAGAAAACGACAGTGCCAAACGCCTTCCTGCTAAGANGGTAAGCTCTGTGAGAGCAGGAATTCTCTGCTCCCTGCTGTGTCCGAGCCTAAAACAGTCCCCCTGAATGCTGGGTGTGCATGAACTGGATGATTCACATGGCAGGAGGGAAGGGCAGTCCTGGCTGCAAACCGGCCTGGGCAAAGGTGGAGGCTAGTGAGAGCGGGGTGTCTGCGGGGGCAGCTGGGGCGCACGGCCAAGTGAGCATGCAGTGCAGGGGGTGGGGCCATCCGGGACTCTTGTCCTGGAAGGAGCCCTTCAGGTCATCTTCAGCCGGTAAACTGAGGCCCGCTCCCCTTCCCTGAGCCGCCCGCCCTTTGCTCCTTCAGGTATCGGCTGGCGAGTCATGATTTCCTACCAAGAGCGGCTCAGATGTTTTCCGTATTTTCTTTTCAGTTTGACTTCTAGAAAAGTTTAAAGGCCTATGTATGGACACGTTTTCTGGCCCAAGGAACTTTGGTTAATTTAGACCTGGGCTGGTTTGTACCCAGGGCTGAGCAGGTACGCAGAAGATGACATGCGGCCTTGGTGATCAGGACGCCAGACTGCCCTCCTCCTGGCCCCATGGCAATGGGACCAGGGCCACGGGAACCAGTGTGGCAGCAGCAGGGACGGGTGGGCGGGGGTTTGACCTGGGGACCTCAGTGTTTGGCGTGGGTGTGCCTCTCCCAGGGGAACTTCAGTGCGTGTTTGCAAAGAGGGTGGCCTTATCACATAAGAACCAGTAAACGGGCTGGACCCAGTGTCAGCCCATTTCAGATGACAGAGCTGGCCTCGGAGTTACTGCTCACCATATGCTAGTTGACTAGAAAGGAATCCGATAGTAGGGGACACACCAAGTTGTC